GCGCCGGGCCCCATAAATTTGTGTTATTTCTTATGAAGCTTCTAGCTGGGATTAGGTAATGTTTGTTAGAAGCTCTTTTTTTTTTTTCATTTTTAAAGTTATTATCATTTTATGATTCAGTTCCATAGGCCCTGGTATTTCCCCTTCCCCACACACTCTGGGTTCTCTTATATCAGTTCAACAGCGCGGTTCTCGTCAGCAGTCGTAGTTAATGCCAGGGCAGCCCTTTGTGGGCGTGACCAGAGGCCTCCTATCCCGCCACTGCCATCTGTGTCTCTTTGGCTTAAGCTCAGGAATCCATAGTGAATTAATTGGTTTTGGTTTTAAGCCAGGAGGCCTTTAATGATTGTAATGCTGTCCCTGGGGCCTATACCCAGGAAGCACTTTTAGCTTCTGTTGAACCCTGAGTATAAATGTGCAGGGGAGACCTGGAAGCAGATAGTGTCTCAGTCTGAGGAGTTGCATTTCTTTCTCCACCTGAGCGAAACTGTCAGTATTGTGTAATGCAACAGTGTCAGCAACGGAAGCTGCTTCCTGGAGATGTGTGTCGGAGGCTGGAAGCTGAGCTTGACTTCCCTGACTCTCTGGGCTTGGTGGCAGGGGTTCTGCAGGTGGTGTCTCAGTGCTTACTGACTTGAGGTTGTCATTTGCGAATGTTTTTAGGCTGGTTTTGCTCAGGGTGTAACAAATGTGTTCCCTGCATGTATTGTACCTTACCTTCTGGATTCATCTATATTTTAAACTCCATTTTCTATTGAAGTAGTATCGGTGTGATTTAGAGAAGGTATGATAGGGTGTTAGACACTTTCAGGCTAAAAATGAAGCTGTGGTTCTCATTAACCAAGATCAAGAAGAGTATGTAGTTGGTAAAGTTCCTAAGGCTCCTGTCACTCCCAGTTAGTTGAAAAGCAATGTGTTGAAATCTACTTTTCAGTTCATTGAGTTTTATATGCTGCCCTTTAGGAAATGTAAATAGAACCGTAATGTTCCCAAGCCTGTTTGGGCTCTCGTTTTATCCCACAGGGCGTGTGTGCACACAGTACAAGTTTCCCACTCAGTCATTAAGAAGAGCTGCTGTTTAGATGCTCTTACTTCCTCACACAGCTCTTCCTTGAATGAACTGGCTACTCCCTTCTCTTTCTATGGTAGATACAAACGAAGGGAAGGAAATCAGAAGTAGATTCAAGTTTCTCTCTTTTTTTAAATTTAATTTTGTTTTTTTGCTTTGCATTGTTTTTATTTTTTAACTGAAAGAGACAGAACTCCCATCAACTGGTTCACTCCCTAAATGCAGTGACTGCACTGGTTGGGACTTGGCCAGCCCACAACCAGGATCTGTGAGCTCAGTCCAAGGTCTCTCATCAATGGCTGGGATCCAGATGCTTGAGTCATCGCTTTCTCCTCCCAGGAATGAGCGTTTGCAGGAGCTGGTGTGAGAACCGAGGCTGTCCAGTTTGCAATGCAGACATCCTACCTGCTAAGTCAAGCCCTTGCTCCTAGGTTCAGGCTTTAACTGTGCAATATACTGGTTTAAAATTAGTTACAATTCTGACTTGCCTTGGATCTTAGGGGTGGTATTGAGCTTGAATTAATGAGGTGGTTATTATCATTTTATTCTATACCTTTAAGATTTAAATAGGAATAATGTAACCAACTCAAAGAAGATTTCCTGTGCTTGTAAATATGTTAACTACCTTATTACCAATAGCTATGAGAAGAGATAAGTGAGATAAAACGGGAAGAAGAGTAGGTATTTAGCCTAACAGTTAGGATGCCCTTATCCCGTATGAGAAGACCTGGTTGGCTCTGGCTCCTGACCACAGCATCCTGTGAATGCAGGCCTGGGAGACAGCAATTCTAACTCGACTAACAGGGTTAATGCCAAACGTGGGAGACCAAGACTGAGTTCTGGGCCCTTGCTTTTGGCCTGTTGGTTGTGGGCTTTGGGTGATGAGCCAGCAGTTGGGAGCTCACTTGTCTCTTCTCAAATAACAACAACAACAAAAAAGCAAAAACAAAAAGGATAGAGAAACAGAGGGTGTATATTTGTATATTTTTACCTTTATTTGGGATAATTTCATATCTGTAGCAAAGTAGTAACAATAGTACAGAGAACTGAATATCCTTGAAAATTCTCCAATTAGCATATGATCTGTTGCTTTATTGTTTGAGAATGTCAGGCTAACAATTGTTTTACAATAGGACAGACACTTAACAGGCCTTATTTAATCTTTTGAATAGTCTAATAGCATATTTCCATAGCGTAGAAAGCAGCAGTGGAGTTTTGGGAGGTTCCACCACCTGCCTGAGATCTCACAGCAGCCGAGTGGCAGACTCCAGTACGTTTGGTAGGAAGGCCCTTGCTTCTCACCTCTTCCTTTACTTGAAGCTCTGGAGATTGCATTCTATCTGCTGTGTAGCTACTAGCGATGTGTCTGGCAACTCTTCCTCATCTTTGCTATTGTTTATAGGAACCAAGCAGACCTGACCCTTAAAGACAAATTATTTTTAACAAAATATCCTCACTCTGTGTTTGAGCTTGAGTTTCTGAGAAAGTCCTGCTAGTCAAAGACCGAATTCCATGTGCAGTTTGATGGTGAGGTCACTGGTGAGGTAGGGATGTGTACCCCTTTTTTCACACTTCTTTTCTTTTTGAAGATTTATCCATTTTTATTGGAAAAACAGATTAGATTTAGAGAGTAAAGGAGAGACAGAAAATTCTTCTGTCCATTGGTTTACTGCCCGAGTGGCTACAACTGCTGGAGCTGAGCTGATCAGAAGCCACGAGCCAAGATCATCTTCTGGGTCTCCCATGTGGGTACAGGCTCCCAAGGCTTTGGGCTGTCCTGTACTGCTTTCCCAGGCCACAGGCAGGGAGCTGGATGGGAAGTGGAGCAGGCAGGACATGAACTAGCACCTATATGGGACCTTGGTGAATGCAAGGCGAGGGCTTAGCCACTGAGCCAATATGCTGGGCCCCATACTTCTCTATTTCTTATATAGATGGAACCACCATAGTTTTGCCATAGGGTGAACTAGAGATATTTTGTCTCCAGCAAAGTGTCCTAGGTGACAGACTGTCTTTTGACACAACCATCCTTATGAGATTGACTTGAAAATTTTTTAAAAGATTTATTTATTTTTATTGGAAAGTCAGATATACAGAGATGAGGAGAGACAAAGAGGAAGATCTTCCATCCATTGATTCACTCCCTAAGTGGCTACAATGCTGGAGTTGAGCCAGTCAGGAGCCAGGAGCTTCATCTGGGTCTCCCACACCAGTGCAGGATCCCAAAGCTTTGGGCCGTCCTTGACTGCTTTCCCAGGCCACAGGCAGGGAGCTAGATGGGAATTGGAGCAGCCAGGATTAGAACCAGTGCCCATATAGATTCCGGGTATGCAAGGCGAGGACTTTAACCACTATGCTATCATGCCGGGCCCAAGACTTTTTTTTTGAAAGGCAAGTGAGAGAGACAGCAAGATCTTTCATCTGCTTATCACTATCCAAATGATCACAGTGGATGGGACTGAGACAAGGCCAGGCGCTTCCTTGGGGTCTCGCTGGTGGGTGCAGGGACCCAGGAACTTAGACCTGCATCCCATGTGGGCACTGGCTTATATTCTCACTGCTCCACATCTATCCAGCTCCCTGTTCATGGTCAGGGAAAAGCTGGTGGTTGAAGTATTTGAGCTCCTATCACCCACATGGCAGACCTGGATGAAGCCTTGCTCAGTCCTGGCTGTTGCAGCCATCTTGGGTCTCTGTCATACATGTGGGAGACCTGGATTGAGGTTCCAGCTCAGCAGCCCCAACCGTCACAGGCTTTTGAGGAATGTGCTCACTGAGCTCCATCTGTGTGCCTTTCAGATTTAAAAAATGGTACTCTTTACTCTTCCTCACTGACCACAGGGTCCTGCATGTGTTGTTTCTAGGTGACAAAGAGGTTTCATCTTTAGGATCTGCACTTAAGATTGTAGGTTGGTGGCTCATGGGCCAGATCGAATGGCAAGTGTATCTTTGGAATAAGCTTAATATCTAGGCTTTTTTTCGTTAGTAGTCAGAATTTTAAAGCCAGAGGATTTTACATATATATCCAGATTCCCGTTTCCAGTTCGGGCCCGTCTGGAGTGTTTGGCTAGCACCAGTGTGCTACTTCCCCTCTGTGCCTGTTTCATGTCTGATCTCTTGTAGATGGGAATTTTCAGCTCTACATCTGGAGCTTGAATGAGGCTTTTATTTTATATCTGGGTTGGTTTATTTAAATAAATTTGAGGGGAAAGTGGAGACACATAGAGGGAGTGTGCCCTCATTTGCTTCTTTATCCCCCTAATGGCCGCAGTTATGTAGGCACTGGTGGACTTGTGCTGGGAGCCAGGAATTCATCCAGGTCTCCCTTGTGGATTATTGGATCCCATCTGCTTGAGCCATCACTGCTGCCTCTTAGGGTCTGTCTGTGTGGTAAGGAGCTACAGCACTGAAACTAGATACTCTGATGCAGGACATGGTCATGGTAACTGGTGCCCAAACGCCTGCCCTGGAACTCCAGCTTTAAAAGCTGGTTAGTGGAGTCACCTTACATTACCCTTTGTTATCAAAGAAGAACACTGCTTTCCTGGGCAGGTCGGAAAAGAGCTCACGAATAAGATTAGGGACTTCTCTGAAGTCACTGTTATCCTTGTCCTGTCTGAGTTCCTTTCCATCATTACAGAGCCAGAGTGACTCCCAGAGCCACAGTCATCTTGATGTCCGGCTCAGCCATGCTGCCAGCAGAGGGTGCTGTTTGCTCACCGAGCCTGCTGTGGTCTTGGCTGAGCTGAGCAGCAGCTGTTGGGCATGTGCCCTGGGTCTCTGTGAGCATTTGGGCATGTCCATTTGGTTCCCATCCCTAGTGCCCACCCCTTAGACCCTGGCCAGGTTATTGTGTCACTGGGGACTCTGTTCAGTAACAGGAAACTGGGGAAAGTTTAATTGTTTTCTCCTCTCCCTTTTTCCCATGCAGCTGAACAAAAGGTTCATCCTCAGTTTTCTCCATGCCCATGGGAAGCTGTTTACCCGGATTGGGTAAGTGTGCAGGATGTTTATTTTATTTTCCTACATTACAAGTCATTTTGGAATTTAATATTGTTAGCAACTAGACTGTGTTTGTAACTGAGGGCACAGGGTGTGAATTCTTAGAGGCCTCCACCTTCCCTCTCTCGCCTCCTGGGTTCATGAATTTTGGGCAGGATTGCCTGCCACCTCCCTGCCTCTTCTTTCTCCGCCTCTTACTAAAACCCCCCTTATATCCAGTCTTTTCCCAGTCCCCACCCCCAGTCTCTCTGTTTCCCTTGCCTTCCAGCTCAGTCCCAGTGAGCTCCTCCAGGCAGTCCTGTGAAATCCCTGGGTGCACTGCAGGGGTCCTCCTTGGGGAGAACGCTGTCCACTCATGTCACCTCATCTTTTTTGCTCCATTTCCTTCTGACCCAGACCCCTTCCTCCGAGCTCAGTTTCCTGTACCACATCGCTGATCTCAGAAAATAGCAAGACTGTTGTGTAGTTTCATCATGTAACATGAAATCACACATAAACCTCAGGGAAGGTAGTGTGGGCAAAGCCCTGTTTCTTTATCCCTTAAATCTCTGGGAAGAGATGAAGTCTTGAGAATTTGTCGTGCACCAGTTTTGACTCACTGCGTAGAATTAGTGCTGCTAGCTCCTGACCTACTGCTTGCACAGTACGGTAAATGTGCACTGGATGCCTGCCTGGGTACAGGAGGGTTGGCAGTGGTGCCCCACACAGGTCCCCCTGAAGATCATTATTGCTTCCGGGCGAGTGGTTTGTTGTGAGCCACCTTATGGAGTAGTTGGTTTTCTCCCTGACTCACCCTGCTTGTTGTCACCGCTTCCCTTCCTGGCCTTTCCTAACTGAAACCTTGTCCATTAATGCTCTGGGAGGCTTCTTCGGTGCTAACAGGAGCTGTGTCATTTTCCACTTGACTTGTATACTTTGCTGAGAAACTGAAAGGCCTTGGCCTGCTTGAAGAAACACTGTTCCATGGGTGATGAACTAGAAAGTATTTTTTATTTCATTTCATTTGTTTCCTGAGCAAGAGTGATGGTGATGGCCATTGTGGGGGCAGGGTTTTTTTTTTTTTTTTTTTTTTTCCTTTTCCTTATTTATTTGAGAGACAGATCGAAAGTGCCCACATCAGCCACATGAGGTTCATGCTAAAGCTAGGAGCCAGGAACCTGATCCAGGTTTCCCATGTGGGTGGTGGATCTGCAGCTGCTTGAGCCATAGCTGCTGCCTTCAGGCTGTGCATGTTAACAGGAAGCTGGAGTCAGGAGTGGAACTAGGGCTGAAACGTAGGTGTTCTGCAGGATGGGGTATCTTAACTGCTCCGCCAAATGCTTTTCCCTGAGGACTTTTGCTGCTTTCGTTTGTTTAAAAATACAGAGTGACAGAGAGATGGGGACAGGTAGAGAGAGCTCTCTTTGGCTGGTTAACTCACCCAGTGGCTGTAACAAGCTAATGCCAAAAACTCCATCCAGAGCTCCCATGTGGTACAGAGGTCGAGACATTTGGATCATCGGCTGCTGCCTTCCCAGGCGCCATTAGCAAGGAGCTGGAGAAGAAGTGGGGGCAAGACTCAACGTCAGGCATTCCATTATGGGATGCTGACCTCCCAAGCTGGTTAATCTGTGTCACAGTGCTGTGGAGTGGGGGGTGGGGTTATTTGAATTGAGCTGGAAAAATTGGAGATACGCCACCAGATGAATGTGTGTAGGAAGAATAAATTAGATGTGTCTGTGCTTCCATTTCATGTGCTGCGCTTCCCCCTACCCATTGGTGTAAAACTCCAGTCCTGCCAGTGAAATCAGTTAATGTTTCAGGTGTCAATGAACAAATCTTAAGATGTGGAGAGGACTGAGTGGGCTACAGTAGACCCAAGCCAGACACTGTGGATGATGTAAATATGCACCGAGGAGTGAGTCAGGTGGGGCCAGCACCTTGGCATGGCTGGTAAAGCTGCCACCTGATGCACCTGTGTCCTGTGTGGGTACTGGTTTACGTCCCTGCTGCTGCACTTCTGGTGTGTCTCTCTGCTGTGTCCCTGGGAAAGCAGTGAAGGATGGCCTAAGTCCTTGGACTCCTACACCTACGCCAGAAACCCAGAATAAGTTCCTCGCTTCTGGCTTCAGATTGGCTCAGCTCTGGCTGTCATGGCCATTTTGAGAGTAAGGCAGCATATGAAAGATTGCTTTCTGTCTCTTTCTCTCTGTGACTCTGCCTTTCAAATAAATAAATATTAGGATAAAAAGAGTGACTCAAGTTGGGAGGCCAGTTTTGTGGATTAAGTTGGTCACCTGTAGTGCTGGCATCCCATATGGGTGCTATTTTGAGTCTCAGCAGCTCCACATTACATACAGCTCCCTGCAGATAAATCTGGGGAGGCAAGGGAAGATGACCTAAGTGCTTGGGCCCCTGCTCCCCACATCAAAGACTTGAAAGAAGTTCCTGGTTCCTTGCTTTGGCCTTGGACAGCCCTGACCTTTGCAGACTTCTGGGGAGTGAACCAGCAGTGGAAGAACTCTCTGTCTTCCTCTCCTCACAACTCTGACTTTCAAAATAAATACTCTCTCTTTCTTTCTTTCTTTCTTTCTTTCTTTCTTTCTTTCTTTCTTTCTTTCTTTCTTTCTTTCTTTCTCTCTCTCTCTCTCTCTCTCTCTCTCTCCCTCCCTCCCTCCCTCCCTCCCTCCCTCCCTCCCTCTCTTTCTCTTTCTCTCTTTCTCTTTCTCTCTCTCTTTCTTTCTTTCTTTCTCTCTTTCTCTCTTTCTTTCTTTTTTAAAGATTATTTTTTACTTGGAAGGTAAAGTTACAGAGAGGAGAAGAGAGAAATTTTCCGTCTGCTGCTTCATTCTGCAAGTGGCCACAACTGCTGGAGTTGAGCCAATCTGAAGCAAGAAGCCAGGGGCTTCTTCTGGGTCTCCCACACAGGTGCAGGGTCCCAAGGCCTTGGGCCATCCTTGACTGCTTCCCCAGGCCACAAGCAGGGAGCGGGATGGGAAGTGGAGCTGCTGGTACATGAACCGACGCCTGTTATGAGATGCTGTGCCACAGGCAGAATCTGTGCAGGCAGAGTACTATGCCATGGTCCCGGATTCGGTCTTCTCTTAAAAAAATAACTGGATCAAGTGACTTTAGTCTCATCTCGCAACACAATTCACAGAGCAGGAAATATTCTTGTGCTGTATTCCAAATAAAAAGCTGATGGTACTCTCCTTATGACTGTATCTCTTTTAGTTTTCATTTTTTCATCATCCTCTCCCTCACTGGCTTTATGAGCACTCCATATTTCTTCTGTGTTCCTTTTCCTGTGTTTGTGCATTGAGTTTTTCTGAGACAGGAGTTACTTCCCACACTGAGGACTGACGACCTTCGGAGATGGATCGTTTGTTGCTGGGCTGTCCTTTGAATGAAGTGTGTCCCCCAGCCTCCCGGTGGCCACTATCTGCCAGGGTCACACCTCACCTATCAGACTGTGATTGAAAATATCCTCTGATTTTGCCAGATGTTCTCCGGTGTGGGCGAAATTACCCCTTTGTGAGAACCATTGTTCTAGGTGTTTACTCCCCGGCCAAAGACCTTTGGGGCTTAAAATTTGTAAATCTTGATCCTCAGTGTAGGAATGCTTATCATATATTATGTTATGCATTAATTACCCACCACTTGTTCAATTCTCATAAACACAGGTATTTTAAGGAAAGTTTAAAAAACAATCAATGGCTGAAAAGGCTGGAGAAACATGTAGAGGCCCAAATTAATCTTAATAAAATTAAGGTAAACATACTTATTTGGAGATAGCTGTAGGATGCCCTGTTTTTAAACAAAGAAACCACAACCAGATTTTTATAGGGTGATAGTAAAATAGGCTGTGTTGTAGCTGGAGCACTTTGTGTTAGGTGTAAGACAAGTTCACAGAGGGACTGAAGGAGTTTTCCTCTCTGGAGGGTTGCAAAGGAACCTGTGATTTCGTTTGTCTGACTTGGTTTGCCGTGGTTCAGATTATTTGTCAGGATCTCTTCATTCCTGGGTACAGCAGATTCTGTCTTCAAAGCCACTTTCACCTTTACAAAAATCAGTGAGTAGCTGTCAGTAAGGAAAAATATGTGTTAATTTTTGGGCACCCCCTTGTTGAGTGTTCCTCTTAATACTGTCCTGGAGGGGAAAGGGAAGTGTGAACCCAAGATTTACTCAGTAAGGCCCAAACAGCATTAGCATGTCTACTGGGGGGAGGGGGCAGTGTCTAAAACGAGGAGAGCGAGGAGCCCAAGCCACACACGACATCGTGGACTGTTGCCTAATTACTAAGAAGATGTGAAATGTGGGAGGCGTTGAAAACGAATTAAGACTGAGGAGATTGTAATGGGGAGCAGCTGAAGGCACATCCCGGCCCCGCCCGCCGGCCTGCCTTCCGCCCTGCGGCTGCTCAGTGCCTCCTGTACACAGTTGCATCGGTAAATGCTTGAGCGCCTACTGTGTGTCAGACACGGCCAGAGGGTCAGCGCTTGAGACAGGCCCAGGTGCCAGGAAGAGTTTGTTAGTCACCGCTTACTAGTTGCAGGACCGAGGGAGTCAACAAGTCAGACAGAGCTTCTGTGGGCAGCAGTTTCCTTATCAGTCGAAAGTGAGATCTCATTCCAGTCCTCAGGTTGTGTAGCCCCATGCCCTTGTGCTCTCATATCCATCGCGTTGTCTAGTTCACACTGTTTGGTTTTGGTTTTGTGTCCCTGGATTGTTCCTATCTTGCTCAGGTTTTAAGGGTTAAGAAGTTGAGCAATGCAGGGAAGCCTGGTTCTTGTCCATAGAGAGTGTTGTCTAGTTCGGCTGTGTTCCTCGGCCTGAGGAGCGGGTGCTGCCCCGTTAGTCACCCTCTGAGTCACTTTCGGGTCTGAGAGACGGTTCTCGAAACTGCTCTTCAGACAATCCAAGGTGTCTGTAGAGACCCCTTCGTAAGGCAGCTACATCCTGAAAATGAGGATCTCTCCTTGAGGTCGTATGGACAGGGCCAGAGGGCTTAGTCAGCCTGCACTGTGGCTCCTGACAGATGGACGCTTCGGGCGCTTTCGGGGGGAGGTAGATCCGACCGCATCTGGGTTCCACTCAGAGGGGATGGGAAGGAGGCAGTCTGCTGACTCTTGACTTGCAGCACATAGAGTCATTTTGCTGTAAAAGTTAACACTTTGATCTTGCTCGCTTGCCTTGTCCTGCTATTTGCTTGAAGCAGATTGATGTATTTATTTTGGACTTTTGACTTTTTAAAAAATGTAATGATTGTTGTCTTGATTTATTTTTGAAATTAACAAATGTTTCAAAACACTCGTTGTGCGAAGATCTTTTTTCTTTCCATACATACAGCGCTCATTGTAAAATATTTTTAAAATGCAACAAAAACAGGAAAAAAATGAAAGGACTTGTCCTCTTACTGCTCAGAGGTGACTATCTGCCGTTACCATTCGGTGTGTATTTTTTCAGTCTTTTTCTCTGCGCACCAAACACACACACACACACACACACACACACACACACTTTCTATAAATATGTTTAGAAAGGGATCCTATTAAATTGCTTCAAAATTGTTTCGTGTAACATATGTTGAACTTTGCCATACATGATTAGAAAGTGACATGGCTGCACAGCGGCAGTGCTCGGAGTGTGCGTGAGCCCAGCCTGTCCCGTGCCGGGCCTTCCAGGACGCTCCCGAGCTGGTGGTGGGACAGATGAGTGGCCTCTGCTTTCTGGGTTTTTTTTCCCTTTTCTTTCTCTACTACTGCTGGCTACTGTGCTTTCTTCCTGGCTAAATTTTTCTGATTGTTACTTCAGTAATGCCCCCAAATCCTTATGAAAACAAAACATTCCAGTGAAGGCTAAGATCTCTTTCGGCCGTTCTCCCAACCCCTGTGCCTTGGACTAGACTTGGGGTTATGTGTTTCTTCAGACGTGTTTGCTGCACTTGCATCCTGAGGTACGAACACGTGCCTATAAAAACACAGGGTTTTGTTCTAAGCACAAATAATGTGCTATCACGGTCTCGCTCTCTCTTTTTTTCCCCTTCTGTAAAATGGGGCTGAACAAAGATGATTTCCTCAAGGAGAAAAACATAAATCACTAACAGGTATTATGAGGTCAAAATCAAGATAGCGTTTTGGTCACAAATTGGCCCCAGCGACTTTTAGTCCACAGCAGGAGTTTTTAAATTTGTGCCTCCCTCCCTGTCGCCTAATGATGCTGATTGTCTGGGTAGATCCTTCTTTCTTTCTTTTTTTTTTTTTTAAGATTTATTATATTTTCATTACAAAGTCAGATATACAGAGAGGAGGAGAGAGAGACAGAAAGATCTTCTGTCCAATGATTCACTCTCCAAGTGAGTGCAATGGCCAGTGCTGTGCTAATCTGAAGCCAGGATCCTGGAGCTCTTCCAGGTCTCCAATGCAGGTGCAGGGTCCCAAGGCTTTGGGCCGTCCTCAAATGCTTTCCCAGGCCACAAGCAGGGAGCTGGAAGGGAAGTGGAGCTGCTGGGATTAGAACCGGGATTAGAACATGGGATCCTGGCCCGTTCACAGCGAAGACTTTAGCTGCTAGGCCGGGCCCTAGATCCTTCTTTCATATCTCAACATTTGAAGCTACTAGTAACTTACATCCTTACGTATTGCCCCCACCTTTTTTTTTTTTTTATCATGTTGAATTAGTTGCAAGGTGAAACAGTAAGTTTTTTTTTTTTTAAAAACAAAGGGAATGTGGACATCTGACCTGGTACTGGCTTGAGATTTCCTTCTGACCCAGGCAGTGTTAATGGGTCTGTTTGAATTCCCACCCGGGGGAAGAGCTTCCTCAGACCGTCTGGCCCACATGACACTCTACCCTGTCGTTCTGGGCTGGCGCTCTCCTGCCTTTCAACACGGAGACACATGGCTCTGAGACTTGCCCAGTGTGGCTGCTTTTCCAGCAGCGTGAACTCCGCTGTTCTCGTAATGGGAAGTGCTGGCCCCCCTCCCCATCTCCGACCAGAGCGAGGGCTGCACAGTGTCAGGATTTAAAATGAAACCTTTGTTACAGCCCATGGGGAAAAGTAGATCCAATCCAGCCCCAAACATATCACTCTCTGCCATTCCAAATCTACCAGGAGTTTTAACGGCTCTGAAACTTTTTAGAGGATGAAAAGAAAAAGTTTTGCTTTTTTGGGGGCAGGGGTGTGGAGAGGCACCTCAGATGGCACAGGACGGGGGTAGCCAACGCACAGCATGTTTTGTACCAATGAAAATGAGGACAGCTCAGCAGAGAGGGGATTTGGAATGTAAACTGTGATTGACCCATAGCTGTGGCATGACTTCTGGGCATTAGAGGGTCAGACATAGGAGCTGCCATCCAAGGGTGAGGCATGAAGATTGCCAAGATTCCAGAAAGCTCTGGAGTTTTCTAATCTGGGGAGGGTATAATTCAGCAGGGAAAAGGGCCAATGTGCTGGTCAAGCCAGAAACACCTTTCTCTAGGACTTGCAGGTCTTGCATTTTTTTTTTTTTTTGAGGATTCCCTTCTGAGCAGCTTTCCAGAAACCATTTACTACTCCAGCCTAGAGCCATCCCCCACTCCTTTCTGTGTACCTTGAGCAGTTTGTTTTGGGAGGGGGGTAAGAGTGGATGAAAGATACTTTGTTGACCACGAATTGTTCATTCGGCATGGCCCTAAGGCCGGTGTGCCTGGTTTCTCTCTCTAGCACCAAGTTTGAATTTGCTTTTTTTATTTCTGAGGACTTCAGCTGTGGTTTGTTCTAGTTGCCAAAGGAGCTCCAGGCATGCACCACTGTTTGGGATCCAGTGGCCACATTTGGCAGGCGGTGGTTTGAATGACCTCTCCTTCGGAGCCCTAGGTCACTGGCTGGATTTCTGCCTCCCCATGTTACAGGCTCTTCCTGTATTGGGAGTGGCAGTTGGCCAGGGCGTTACATTTCCACTAGATTGAAAACGTACAGACCCTGATGAACAGAAAGGCTTGTGAGAAGGAGGGGAGGACAGCCACGCAGGAGAAATGGAAGCAGACACTGGGGGCCTGGGTCCAGGGCTCTTCAAGGGGTAATATGGGATCCTTGTGGATCAGGTAGTGTGATCACGCCTGAGACCAGCAGCACTGTGTCTGGTTCTCAATAAATCCCAAGAAAAGACTCTCTAGCTTCATGTAACTCTTTTATAGAATACAGTTTTCATACCAGACAGTTTGGGGACTGTGAGGAAATTTGTTCACAATTTAGAAGAGCTGCTCGTTTTCAGAGAGAGGATCTTTAATATCAGCTTGCGTCCAGTGATTGCCAGGGGTTAGGAAATAGCATACCAAAGCATAATAACTCACAGTGATTGATCCAAGAATTGCGTTGTTTCCATCGCTCAGTCCTGAGCAGTTTATTCTTCTTTTTCAAATTTGTTCAAAAATCACAAGATACCAGGGAAGTTTGTAAAAATTGCAAATTAATATCCTAGCCATTGGTTGCCTGTTTTTAAAAAGAGAGGGAGGGAGATAGAGGAAAAACAGAGTGAGTGAGTGTGTGTGTGTGTGTGTATATGCGTGCGCACACATGTGGGTGCGTGTACACCAAGTGCTCTCAGGAATGTTCCTCACTGTTGGGCTTGCTGTGTCTGCAGAATGGAGACATTCCCTGCAGTGGCTCAGAAGGTCCTTCAGGAGTTCCAGGTGTTACTGCAGCACAGCCCCTCTCCTATTGGAAGTGTCCGCATGCTGCAGCTGATGACCATCAACATGTTTGCTGTACACAACTCCCAGTTGAAAGGTAAGGACCGTCCAATTTCTTTGTACAGATAGAGATTCATCAGCCTCCTTCCTCTGCTGCGTCTGCCTACACACACACACACACACACACACACACACACACACACACACCCCCCTTTCTTTCATGGTCTGTCAGATCTTTAGTTTCTTCTCTGCAATCTCTGATGGTAATGTTTGAGTGGGATGGGAGGAGGGAATCATGGGTATAAAGCTTAATTTGCAAGCTCAGAGATGCTGTTGCACATCTGGCCATGCTAAAGGCAGCAGCAAGGCCTCTTGGAGGCAGCAGATCCAGAGCCTGTCCCGAGGGAGAGGCATTGCTGAAATGTTTCATTGCAGAGACCATACGCTTGGCAGGGATTGGGAATAGCTGTTTCTGGACTCATGTACCCTGTTTGTTCAATATGGAAAAGTCTAGTTCCCTATGGGATATCCCTTGTGGGAGCCTGCCAGGGAGTAAGAACATAGAATTGATGAGCTTTGGAGACTCAAATCTGGAAGCACAAAAACCACCCAGGCCAGCATTTGGCTGGTGTACTAGTGAGCGTTCTGAAACACTCCTTGGAGTTGTTTGGAGGGTCGGGGTGGGGAGGGGATGTTCTCATGACCAGGTCTGAGTCAAAGGATGTTACCAGGGTTTGTTCTCTTCTCTTCACCCTCCCACCCCCACCCTTCCCTCTCCTGGCCCTGCCAACTTAGGTAATGTCAGTGGTTTGCCGTGGTGGAAATGTGTATTATGGGAATGGCATTGTTTTTTGTGCTTGCTTGCATGGAGAATTTAGTTCATGCTGCCAAGAAATAGTTTCAGAGCATCGACAGTGTCTGGTTCCAGGGCTAGAAGGTTATCATCTGAAATGCCAGGCAGTGGGAATTCCTCCACGGAGTCTCTTGTAAACCAGATCTGGTGTTTCTGGACAAGTTTGGTAGGTTCTCTTGTCGTACCTTCTCTCTCTCTCTCTCTCTCTCCCCCCCCCGCCACCCCCACCCCCCTCTCTGATGTATTTCCCTTGTCATTTGTTTGAGGGCTCTGCCCAGCTGATTGGCAGGGAGCCTTCTTCCCTGATTAGTGAGTATACCACAGCTTCCCTTGAGTCGGGGCTGTTTCTGGGATTCAGCAGGGTCCTTTGCTAGTCTTCCTGGATCTGCAGTGCCTTCTAAATCTGAGAGGAAATCCTCCTCTTGTGCTGCTTGCTTCAACATTTAGAGTTGCCCGCAGAAAGTGTGACGCAGAGGCTTAGGTGCTTTTTAGAACTTGGCTAATTATTCCTGAGATGGCTATTTGTTTAAATGGCCTCGGGCAACGTGGCATCATGGGGTGGGGGGTGGGGTGTACAGCATTGGTTTCCAAGAAGGAGAAAATAATAGTTGTAAAATGCCGTTCCTGGGGAGGCTGTGCAGTCCAAAGGGGAGGGAGTTCCCACTCCCTAGCCAGTCGGAAGCTCCCTGGACTCTGAAGGCAGGGGCCTCTTGAGATGCCCCCTTCTTTGATTTGCTACCTCCCGGGAAAGGCAGGCCTTAGGAGTCAGGCGCCTGCACAGAGCTGCAGCCTCTGCCAGGGTGTTGTTCCAGCAGTGACTGACCTTTGGGGGCCTCTACAGGTGTGAGTGTAAAGGACCTGCAGCTCCTGCCTGCAACACGTCTGCTTTTAGCAGCTTTTGCTCCATGAAAAGGAATACCTTGGCATTTTCATAAGCCACCAGTGAGCCCTTTTCTTGTGGCTGTTGTTAAGTAAAGGGTAAGAAAATGTGGGTGAAAGGAAGGTGAGACGGAAAGAAGGAAATGGTGGTTCCCCCATTTGGACCAAGGTACTTTTTCTAGGACTCTGGTTCACTGGTTGACCGTAAAGAGGACCCTCTAGCCAGAAAGGACATGTAGAAGCCTACATTGTTTGACCCTGTTCCTCCTTCCTAACCTTGTCCTGACTCTCACCTCCGTGAACCAGCTGGGGCCAGGAGGAGTAGGAACTGAGGTGGTCAGAGGCTCCAAGGGTGTTTCAGGGAAAAACAGGCCAGGCCACAGGATATAACACTCAGTTAGGACAGAGAGCACTGCGGACGTGCTGCCAAGGACCCGGTGTGCAGCTGAGGCAGCCGTCCAGACCCCACTGTGTGGGCTGCCATCGGGAGAGGGGTGAGCGGAGCGCTCAGCAGGGCTGGTTGGTGGGAAGATGCACTTTTCCATTTCCCAGCACATGAGTCATCCTCTCTGGGCCCCTGTGCTGTGCTTGCACGGACAGTGGCAAGAAGGGGGTGTTGTGGCTGAGCAGCAGCATCTGTGCCGGGGGTGGAGCGGCAAGGGGGTTGGGGAGAGGGTAAAGATTTAAATCCTTCACTAATCAGCAGCCGTTTGAATCACATTTTTATGAGTAAGGAAGTGATAAATCAGCCCTGCATGTTCAGGCCCCTTGTCCCGTCAGCCGGTGCCCTTCCAAAGGTTTTTCTCCAGGCCGGTCTGCATGCCGTCAGAGTCACCACCCAGCCATGGTCCCTGTCTGAGACCAGGAAGTCAGGGCGCTGCCTGGCCCTCCCAGGTGCTTAGGTTCGTGGTGATTTGGCAGTCACTGTATGTTACAGAACATCTGGGCCATCATTTTTCTTTCCATTCCTTTTTGGACATGTCCTTCTGGGTGGGTGTTTATGTATGTCAGTTCCTGGACTCTGGAGAAAGAACATTCCAGCCTGAAGCAGAGATGATCTTGTAGCCCACAAGGCAGTCCAGATCCTCTCCGGCTGTGCTTGAGCCCTTGCTGTGGTGCGGTGCCCAGCATGCGTGATTTGGAGAGCAGCAGGGAAGCGTTCGCTTAAACGGTGTGTGCTATACTGAGGCCCCAGCGCTGTGATGAACCAGTCATGTTTTGTGTTATTGCTGTCCTTGAGTTACTGTCTTTCTTTCATGGTACCTATAGTTCAGGGATAGAAATCATATTGCTCCCAACACTTTACATGTCTGCTTTTCCTTTGGATACAGAGCTGTTTGAAAGCCTCAGACACTATAGAAAGCAAAATGGAGGAAAAGGCTTAGCTGGTGGTAAGAGAGTGGCAACTTTCCTGGTTTGAGGTTTTCTCAGAGTCAGATCTGCTTATGGAGGCAGAGGTGGTAAGATTAGATTTGCCCCTGTGCCATAGGGGAAAATAAGTTTGTCATATCATTTAGCCAACTAAACTTTTTTTTTCCTTACAACTTATTTTTATTTTAAAGCAGAGTTACAGAGAGAAAAGGAGGGACAGAGAGATCTTGCATTTGCTTATCCACTACCCAAATTACTGCAACAGCCAGAGCCTGGCCAATATGAAGTCAAGAGCTTCCTCGCAACCTCCCATGTGGGTGCAGGGGCTCAAGGATTTGGTTCACCCTCCACTGCTTTCCCAGGCACATTAGCAGGGTGCTGGATGGAAGTGGAGTAGTCATAACTTGGACTAGCAGCCCATATGAGCTGCTGGCAGTGCAGGTGGTAGCTTAACGTGGCGTAGCGCACAGTTCTGGCCCCTTTAACAATCTTAACGTTTATAGGTTAAGGACTGTTGGTGGGAAGACCTTTTTTTTTTTTTTTATCCTTGGAATGAAAGCTATGACAAAATCCTACTTTAGTGGGATTAGGAATTAATCCTCATGGTTGACAACAGATAGATTTGAAATGGGAAAGGGATGTTTGGGGACCCTGGCATAGTGCTTGCATTGATTAGTGTTGAATGCATGGCTGGGAGAAACCATAGTCCTGCAATTTCACCAACTCTGACTGAGCAGAGTGTTCCTTACCTGCCTGGGTCCCAGGCTTGTCCTAAGATAGGTGCTTCCCAGTGACATCACAGCTGCTAATCCCTGTGACATTCTGGGCTGAGAGGAGAGAGGGCCGCCTTTGCATGCCCTGACGTTGAATACTTCAGTGGCCATCTGATTGGCTGCTGTGTTGCTGGAGTTATTCTAAACCACAACCACTCCAAGAATTTTTTTTTTTTCTTAATTCTGTAATTTAAGGAAATAAAATTCTAGCTTCTTGAAGAGGAATAATTGAAACAGAATTTGTGGCAGGGCATCACTGAAGTCACATTGCATCCCCCATCTGTGCCCAATTTGCTCCAATGTGGCCTCTCCTTCCCCCCTTCCTCTTTCTTCCTCCCCCCTCTTGCTCTCTCTCTTTTTAAAAAATATGTTTTATAATTTTTGGAATCAAAACCATCTCAGGCAACACACTGTTTTATTTTATTATATTATTGGATTATACTTCCTATAAATCATTGGATTTTCCTCATTGGCTGCCACTGGAATAACTTCCTTCTCTGTGCCCTGGTCTGCTTTTTCCTCTACCAGTTCATAGAATCTTCTACCTTGCAGAAAAACCACGATGGCAGCAAGAGGGCACCCAAGAGACACTTGTTGTATACGCTGATGAGTGGCCTGCTCTTGGGGGAATACTTGGAGGTTAGGTAGGACTGAGGTAGACCAAGACTGACCTTCCTTTATTATCATTTATGCTTACTTTTATGATGTGAGTTTTTCTGAATCATAGCAGGTGCAGGGAGTGCCACCTGGGTAGTGGCCAGAGGGGTGGACAGCTGCGGCAGTCTACAGGGAATGGATAGAGCTTTATCCTGTGGGTCTGGGATACTTGTCCCATTGCTGTGTATTGGGGATAGGTAATGGTTGAGAATTTTGGTTCTTGGAACATTGAGCAGCCTTAGAGACCTCCAGAAAAGCAGTTTGCTCCCCTGTGGCGTTTCACTTCTGTCTGAATCTCTTACCCAAGCAGAATGTATGAAGTGCCTAATCCACCACTTGTCAGAACTGTTGTACAGGAAATCCACCTTTCATGAGGGGTTAGGCTTGAGTTTAGCTGTGTAAACTGTCCTCCTTGTTCCCCCTTCTATGTGTGGTGGTAAAGGCTTTTTTTCTACAAGGTTCATGGGTGGATTTTGACAGGTAAAAGCGCTACCAAACCTTGATTTTTCATGATTTCTCAGGTTAGAACAAAGAAACAAAGAGCGAACCAGCCTGGCTAGTGAG